AAAGAGTGTTGTTACGGGGACCCAAAATATGGGACCAAGTGAGGGGACAGGTGAGATGTTCCCTCCCTATTGCATAATGAGTTGGCATAGCTACTACTCATATTCTTCGATTTTAGAGAAAGATTGTCGAAGGCCTAACTACTACTCATGTATCTTCAACTAGACTCACACTAGGAGTGATTTTCTCTTAAATACGCTCAGCTTAAGTGCTTAAGGTATATTTCTCTTTCCCCCCCCCCCTAAATTTCTGAAATTCTTGTTCTAAGTCCTTATAGAGTTTAGTTGAATCAGTATGAGAACATTTAATCTATATTGTTTCTCATCATGTTTTTTGTAAATGTTTACGCGAGTGGACGAATTGCATTCTTGGATGTATTCATTCAATTAATTGGGTAAAATTCAAACAACAAAAAAGAGGAAATTATTTAGTTGATTATTTTCATTTTATTACCGCTGAAGATTGATTTACTAATATAACATTGATTTACTATTATAATACTATACGAGTATAATAATTCTACTTAATCGTCAACTATCTCCCTTGCAAAATAGGTATTATTCATGAAATTTTTAGCTTCCGTTAATTACTTATCACCATTTTTTTTAAATGACTTATTTCGAAAAAAATATTAGAAATATTTGTTGGCATTAATCTTTTTGGCTTTTAATGAGAAAATTATATTGAAGAAGTTTAGTTTTTATTAGTATTTATCAAATAATCATAATATTATTACAATTGATGATCAATTTTGAAAAGTAATAAAGAGCCATTATTTCAATTTTTGATATGTACAATTTTTTATGTTTTGGGGGGAAAACAAACTCGTGCACCACATGAGTCTAAAACTTTGAGAGACACGTGGGAACAGTGAAATTACCTCACTGTCCCTCCTATTTGTTATGATATGTAGTTCAGAACTTCCCGCACCGTGCAGGAGGTTCTGATAGGATGATTACTCGGTAGATATTTTCTTATTTGCATATATTTCATCCAATCTGTATGGGATGCTTCTTATGTCATTAAGCTACATCTTGCATTACGGAGTCTTCCCGCCGTACACTTACGAGTTAACCTTAAAAGATTTTCTTTTAATCATAGCAATTACTTAAACTAAGTGTTTGTTAGAGGCCCAATACCACTATTATAGCATTTTTGTTTAAAGTAAAAAAGGATCACGTACCTAACATTTGAATACTTCAGTCCCATGCTTTGACTACTGACCCAAACCTTAGTAGCACGTGTTAGATGTTTGGAAATTACAAATTTTAAATACAATATCGATCACTATCATTATAAGCAAGACACATTCATTGTGTCAATAGCGTCATGGAATTTCAAAATGAATAAAAGACATGTTTGAAAAGCATGCTCTATAAAAATAAATAAGACTAAGTTATTATGAGAAAAGGAAAGCTCATGATGTTTCTTTAGAGTAAATATAACTCTAAGGAAGGTGCTACAGTCACACCTTAAACCGCACCTCCAACCACACTCCTCTCTCGTTACAGTGCACCGGGGGCCACATGAGAATTTTTAAATGAGAATTTTTTTTAAAATTCTCATGTGGCCCCCGGTGCACTGTAACGAGAGAGGAGTGTGGTTAGAAGTGTGGTTTAATGGTGTGTCTCTAGCATTTTCCTAACTCCAAATAGAAGATCCATCAAGTTAGAATTTACACAGAGTTTGAAGACTAGAGTTCATCATCTCTAATTAGGATGGTGGGTAAAAGAAACATGTAAACTTGAACACCGGTCTATCAAATCAAAGTTGATTGGAAAATATCTAAATTATTTAAACTAAATTACCATATGTTTTTTTCCCCCTTTTCGATTTGATGAGAGGGAACTTCACCACCATCGTTCGAACCATGGGTATCAAACCTCCGGATGTGGCTACGTGGCACCCTCCAATGCAACTCTTTTAAGTTTATCATAAAACTTCTATGGACATAATTGTTCTCAAAAAAGTTGTATATGAGTAACCATACAAAAGTAAAAGTATTAATTATTAAATAAATTTCAATGTAAAGCAAGGAATGAGATGATATGACTAGCATCAAAGCTTGTAAATAAACCCTGTTCCTACACTTTTCACTTTGTTCCAATTTTGTACATTTTTTTCAAAGATACCCCTCATTAATTATGTATCCGCCAATTAATTGAGAGAACCATTGACAAATTTTAAATTTGCTTAAGAACCGTTTATCTGCTAAAAGCTGATGCTACTTCAAACTAGTGAAAGTTAGAATAACAGTATACAAAGCAATCCCAACTTTAACAAGGTCAGTTAGATTGTGAGTTGATAACAATAATTAATATTTATTTACAGATCGAGAGGTTACAAACGGTTAACTATAGCTAGCTAGCTTCAAATTGTTTTCTTTTTAATCGATTTTTGAGCTTTAGGAATAGATTCATAAGGGGAGTCAGCGAGATCACGACCAATTTTTTTAATTTTCTAATATATATATTCTAGCAAATGGATGATGCATGCGATTATAAACCTTAGTGGAAGTTGGAATAACATTGGTAGCCACGTACTCTGCTTCAGAAAAATCCAATAGGGGTAACCAAAAAAAAAAATCCAACAATTCCTAAAAGGGGATACTATTCCTTAATCTTTAATGTAGAAGTCAAATAAATTCTTAAGAGGAAAAATGATAGGTGGCATAGCAGCAGTAGGGATTGGTTATAGGGATGTGTGTTTATGAATTTTCAATCAATCCACTAATCTAACCTTAGTTAGGTTAGTGAAGTGGAGAATGCCATTAATAAGAATAAAAGAATAACACTTCATTTAAGGGGCTGTTTGGTTTAATTTCTACAAATTATGGGAAATGTTTTCCATCTAAAATATGATTTTCTTGTATTTTTTTAAAAAGTTATAGGAAAAGTTTTGAGAAGTCAAAAAGTATTAATTTTTTTTTTTACTTTGCTTGTTTGGTTCAAAGCAAGAAAATGACCCATAACTTTATAGAAAATAGCAAGATTTTCTATAATTTGTAGAAATTGAACAAACACCCCCTAATTTTATAAAAAAAATATCAACTTTATAGAAAATTGTCAATGTGGTGTCAAATTTCTCGGTGATTTCCGTCCATTTTGAGAGAAAATTGATTTCTGTAAATTTTAGTACTTTTTATACTTTATAGAAAACATTTCTGTAAATTTTTTTGAACCAAACACAGTTTTCAAAAATCTTCAGAAAATTTTTAATTACAGAATTGTCATTGTCTGATATTTTAAAAAAACTTTTTTATAAAATGTGCAACCAAACACCCCCTAAAGTGAAAAGTACTCGCAGAGGAGTTTCTTGGAATGACACTTCATCAGATGGTAAAAGAGACGGCCAAAACTTTAATCCAACTTAATTATTAATCCGTGAAGTGACGTGTCAACCAACCCTTTTCCGTAGAACACGTTAACCGCCCCATTTAGGGAAAATCATGGGTTTGGTGGATTAAGGGGCTTAATTAATTCGTCCACCAACTGATCAACACTGCCCCGGTGTTTAAAAAACAAAAATTAACACATATGTTCTCACATATGTACGTGCATATATGCACACAAAACTATTATAAACCATTTGTATTAGAGAAGAGCATGAAGAACTATCCATATTATCTCTAGACTAGGTATTTATTAACTTCACCCTCAGCTTTAAAAATCCATGTCCCCATCATCCCCTCATCTTTCTTTGTGGTCTCTTTTGTTAGTCCACCATTTTTTTTTTAAATAATGATAGGGGCAAACCCTCTACCACACTCTCAACCCCACTCCTAACCCCACCACTTCTCTCGTTACAGTGCACGGGAGCTACATGAGATTTTAAAAATTAAAATCTCATGTGGGCCCCGTGCACTATAACGAGAGGTGTAGTGTGATTAGGAGTGTGGTAGAATGTGTGCCCCTAGTGCCTTTTTTTTTAAGACACATGATATGCAATTATTCTTACACATCTAACGTTCACCATCCACGTGGATGTCCAAGAGCATAGGTAAGTGAGACATGATAAAAGTGTGAGCAAAAGAAACCACATCTATAGGCTCCCCCCCTCATTTCATGTGTTCTCCTTCTTAATTTTCTAGGACCAATAAATCACATTATGGCATTATGCCACGTATTTCTAGTTCATTTGGACTTTTTCACATCCCTTTTTGTGTCCACGCGCTTTATAATCTACAAATGTTTTATGTTTTATCACCATGATTGTTTAGACTAGTGTGTGGAGTGTGCTAAAAAAGTGAACAAAAACAAAAATAATGCTAACAATAATATGCGTATCTTCCACGAACGGACTCAAGCTTATGTCCTGTTTGGATGGAGGGCAGAGAGGGGGAGGGGAAGAGAAATGCGGCTTTCATCTAGTTTGGGAGTTTTTTAAGGAGGGTAGAGAGGAGGAAGAAAGGGGAAAGGATGGTAAAATTGCTTGGTTTTCTTCCCCCCCCCCCTCCTCCCCCGATGGACGTAGAGAGGCTAGACGAGGGTAAAGGGGTGTAATGACATTCTTATCTCCATCAAAACAAATAAAAGGGCTGATGTGTTATTAGTATAAAATCATTTATGTAAATTTACATATATTTACTTCCTTTCACCTTCATTCACCTTACTCAACTCCCAAACAACATATTACAATTCCCTTCCCTTCCCTTCCCTTCCCTTCACTTCTCGTTGTTTACCTTTCCTTCCATTCCCTTAGTAAACTCCCAAACACACCACTAATTATCACCGTATATCAAGAGGTAATTCAGTATATCAAGTGATTTTGGTTTAAAAAACTTTATACCTAATAATTTTAATATTACTTGATTGATTTGACTGATGAAGGATCATGATGAATAGTTAGGTTTCTTTCTTAATCAAAACATTCATTGTGCGTCCTAATAATTTTACTAAAGCCGTAACATAATACATTTATAAACTAGATCTAAAACACATGTAAGCTATCTCAAAATATCACAGAGGAAATCGTCATAATTACACCACCTACTGATGTGCAACAGCAGAAAATATTGGTACGTCTTCAACTTCTATGTAGACAGAACAACATGGATTATTCCTTTTTCTTTTATCTAGCATATTATTCCTTTTTTTATCTATTATCACACCTATTCCGAATAAGAATACATACATAAACATTGACGTTTGCTCAGCATAATTGCAACCCAATTAATTAGCTAATACATTCATGATTCAAATCCGACACAATCGGAAGGTTGGTACATGAAATACAAATTCTATCAGAATTGTTCTATACAGAAAGTGATCTCAAATACATTTATTTCGAGAGCTAAGATCACAACCACGAAGTGAAAAAATAGGTAGATGGTTGTGATCTCAACCCTCTTAACGGATGATTTTTATCACTCTCACGTGGCATCTGTTCTGATAAGATTTGCATTCTTGCATATCCCATGGACTTCAATAAGACCGCCCACATGCGATGAGCAATCTTCAATCATTCAATCGTAAATTGAGCTGACATCACCCTCCCCCACAAAAAAAACTCATCACCACCAAAATATATAGCTTAGAAACATTTGTTTGCGTGCGGAAAATTCTAATATGATATATTTAAAGTGCATATATTGTAATTACAAGGAAACATAATTAATATATTAGGTCTATTAAATTTAAAAATATAAATGCAAGTAGATCTGAGTAAAGTAGATCCATAACTAGAAAACATGGATTAGAACTGCCCTTTATGTGGAGACAAAAAGAGTAATATAATTTAGATGAATATATTCCTAGTGTCATATGCTAACTAAAAAGTTTAACTAAAAAACAACAAGCACTAAGATGCACATTGGGCCCTTCCCAAAAAATCCCAATTTTATACTATGAAGAGGGCTAATCTGCTAAAATGCGATTAGTAGTATATTCCCCCCACGTTGTTCGGCGTCGCCATCCAACGTGGGGGCTCCACCCACGCTGCACCGATTCCCTTTGCTGTCCAATTAACTCATGACCTGATCAGCAACATGACCACGAACAACTACATTGGAATCGAACCATTCATAGTGGGGCACGTGTGCTTTAATGTGGGTCCGGTTTAAGCTCCGAAATTGCGGTCGTCGACGAGTCACTGGACGGTATATTAAAGTCAACAACGGATCAGTGGGGTTAAAAGACCGTACATCGATTAGATTATTCGGACAGTAAACTACACTTACAAGTCAAATTTTAAAATATTTTGTTTCCCCTACCACTAATGGTTATTACGTTGCGCACTTACACCGTTCACCCTATCAGAACTCCTCACATGCGAGCGGACGATTCTGACCCTCAAATGTGTCCCCCTTATTTTGTTTCCCCACGCTGGAGGGTCAGGACCGACCACTCTTAGATGGATAATATGTAACATATCTGTAATTATTTAATAATAAATCTAGAGTTGACCAGCTTTCATGCTAAGTCAAATGTCGTAAGCACAATTGCACATAACTGATAGATTTCGATTCAATTATATCATTGTAGAGTGCACCACTTCATAACATATCTGACATTACCAAAATATCAAACTAGAGACCGCTTGATACATGACAACTGCAACGATTGTAACCGCTAATATAAACATGGTTTGAATCACCGTCGTCACTCACAAAGATTTTAATGTAAGTAACAATCATAACATTTTTATCAACAAAGAATATTCAAGTTCAATCTTTTGAAAAAGCTTGATGCTCTAGAGTAACCTATCACGAGATATATAATGACTGTAGTTACACGGATTCGGAGCCTCTTCACTATAAAAAAGTAGTGGACAAACTACTACTATATCACAACCCGTTGGCGTATTTAGCAGGTGGTGATGACTTGACTTAAGAGTGCCAATTAGGAAAATAGTACAATTTATAAGGGTACGACACACATTAGATATAAAATAAATCAGAATTATTTACCGTATAAATTAATATCTATACTAATACAGTAGTGTTTCCATATTTATTTTGTTAGAGGAGATGATCCAAATCTGTGGTTGGACGGCCTGTATAAATCCATGCTAAAAAGGATAGCGGCCTAAAGGACAAGATGATGCAAAACATGGTAATAAGAGGGTGTTTCTGTAAAAATGAGATATTTTGCCGGATATAATATTTGCTCTCCTCTTCCTTGTGAAGAAGGGAAGAGCAAAGCTTGAAATCGAGAGCGGAGATCTCTCAACAAGCACCCGCCTTTCTTGACTCCCCTCTTTAAATTTCTGCCCCCACCCTTTTTACTACTAAAATTTGAAACCCTAACCCTAAAATTACCTTCTTGTTTTTTTCTTCTTAAACTTGAGTAAGCAATGGCGATCGCTTCTCAGGACGCGATCAAGCAGCTGAGGGCGCTGATGGAAGAAGGTTCGCTCTCTTTATCCGCGTAATTTGGTCTGTTCTCGTGAATTTTTTTTATTTTAACTAGTTTTCTGGTTGTTTATTTTTGCAGTGGATGAGCCGCTGAAGAGGACGTTTGAGGTATGGATCTAGATCTGGGCAATGTTTATGTTAATTAGTATGAATTCGTAGATCTTTTAGATTTTTTTTAGATAATTTAGTTGTTCAATTGACTGATCTAGTTCGTAGACTGAGATTGTAAGTTGATTCTAGTCCTTTGCAGTATTTTTGGATTGAAGTTGTAATTTTTTGTATTACATTGAATAGTTTGTGATTTTTCCCCTCTAGCTGTAATATTGAACTGAAAGCTGTCCTCAGCTTTTAAAATTCTAGGGCGATTTGACCGATTTCTGATTTAAACTTAAAGATCTCAAATTTTTAGGAGTTTTGTTGTTTTTTTCTTTAGGATCAGAGTTGTAATAACAAAATACACATGTCATTGAAAATGCAAAGGACTGTGTCAAGCAGTTCTGATCTTATTGACTTTCACCAGATTTTTAGGAGTTTTGTTGTTTTTTCTTTAGGTTCAAAGTTGCTTATTAATTGAGTGAGGTTTACCGTAGATGCATGTTGAAAACTATGTCAAGCAGTTCTGATCGTATTGAAATATTTAATTTGGATCAAAATGTTTTCTCTAGCTTGATAGATAAATTGAAACTACCTATAATATGTTCTTCTTATTGGATTTGAAATTGGTAGTTAATTACGTTTATCAACCCTAAATTTGAGCAGCTTCCTCTTTGGGTTAGAACGGAGGAAGCACTTGATTGCTTTACTGTAAAGCTGTTATCCATAGACTCTAATCGGATAAGATGGATATTAGTTAGTACATTGTTGCAGCCTCCTATCTAGTGGCTTCTGCCTTTTTGAAAATGGGTAAAATTTTGCTTGATATTTCTCTTATGATGACTACACAGTGGTTACTATCTTGCTCACACTCGTGTAACTTCTTTTTTCTGCGAGCCTGCGATTGTTTGTATAGTGTATTTCGGTAGTTTCACAGACTTTTCTCTTATACTTTTGCATTAGTACAGTACCAGGGTTAGTGTTTTAATATTTTCTTTTTCGGGTGTTTATTGATATGATTTTCTAACTCTTTTTGTGCTTCAGAGTTTTTTTCGTGTCTGACTGTCACTGTTTTTAGGTGGTCAACAAGTGCATTTTGCTAGTATCATTTTTGTCATCTTCTTTTGTTATAGGTCAGAAATTAAGAAAAAAAGGGCCTATTAATTGGAATGTAATCATGGTTCCTGACTTAGTTTTCTTGATTTCAGAATGTCCATCAGGGGTATCCAAATGAAGCTTTAGTGCGATTCCTTAAGGCGAGGGAGTGGAATGTTTCAAAAGCCCATAAAATGGTTCTATGCATATTTGTTACTACTAGTATTTGAATTCTTCTTCAAGAGCTTCCATTCAGTTGCTTAATTAATCCTCTTTCATGCAGTTGATAGATTGCTTAAATTGGAGGTTGGAAAATGAGATTGACAATATACTGACAGTGAGTTCATGCTTCACTATTTCCATACTTTGTCGTTATCATCAGCTTAATATTGAAATTTCAAGTTAATGGTCAGAATCTAGTTAGATCCAAAATACAATTTATCGTTGGAGCCTTCTGGATTTCATAGATATCATTTGTTGTAGTCTTCCAAATTAGTACCAATGTTTTCTAAGCTGTCCAATACAACTGTCATTTAGCTGTCAAATTATAAGCATAACGATCTTTTGTCAACATGGGGTTTTCTGCATAAATATTTTCTTATAATAAAAATGGGCAAAACAACTTTTTTTGTTTCCTAATTTGTCATGAAAACAAAAAGACTTGCATCACGAAAGTAAAAAATCACCATTCATGAACAGGAAAGGCTGGAAAGCTATGCCACATAGGTAAATTAGCCACTGGGAAAAGGGGTTGGTGGTCTTTCTGTTTTCTTACTTCATGCAAGTATTTTTTTTGTTTCATGACAAATTTGGTACGTAAATGTTTTTTCTTCGCCTTTCCTATACGAAAACATTGCTGCAGAAATATCGCAATGACAAAAACTCATTCTACCTGTAATTTGACAGCTAAAATACATTCTTATTAGATAAATGCTGCCTCAACCCTGCATTTCGTGGAGAGTGTTTCTTCAATTTAAACTGTTATGCTGTGGCTCACTCTCAAACAGACAGTTCCTATGTTTGCATAAAGATCATGATTGTTATTTAAAATAACAAAAATAATGGTCTCACTGTCTGTGAAGAAAGTAACTGATCAGGGAGATCTTATTTACTGGAAGGGTAAAAAGCTAATTTGGTCCCTGTACTGGTGCTTCATTCTCAATTTGGTCCTCGTACTTTATTTTTTCTCCACTTAGTCCTTGTATCATACCTTAGTTACAAACTAAATCCCTTTTAAACATCCGTTAGAAATTTAGTGTTAATTTTTCATTTATGACTATCACTGTCAATTACATGAAAAAATAGGCCCTTGTACTTTATTTAGAACTCCTCTTTTGAACCTATAAAACCAATTTGCTAACTTCCTTGCTGCCACCAAAATTTCAAGCGCGTCATTATGGAAGGCGTTTGAATTTGAATCTGAAGAGGAACTACCCTTCTTGTTGCAAGTCGAGGCTCTTGCCTAGTTTTATGTATACAAGGATAATTATCAATGTAAATAAAAGAACACCTCAGATCTGTTTCATATATGAATAAAGTAATGAAAGTATAACTTGAGTTGTAAATCTTCTATAATGCGGAAATTCATCAATATTGTGATTCCAAAAGGTGAAAAAAATGAACGTGAAATATAGAGTTTTTTTTAATAAAGAGGAACTGTCAAGTTGCTTGGTTATATAATGCCATGAGAGTTCAAATATGGTTGATTGTAGAAACATGCAGAAACAGTTACAGTATATTCATTGCTAATATACTATAGTCATTACTTTGAAGGATGTGGTAATGCTGAATGCCGAACAATGTTATGGTTCATTTTCTTTGGATTATCAAGCATAAATTACTATTTGACCATTGATTCAGATATAAATTTAAAGTCTAGACAAAATGTCAACCTCCAGAAATGAAACCAACGCCTTCTATCTAGATGAGTCAGCCCAAAACCTGACACAAACTCCAGAAGCAAACTCAATATCAAGCAAAAAAAAAGTACAATAAACAAATGATCGAGAATTTTGCAAAAAACAATATAAGACAGCCAGAAAATTTTACAAGGAGTTTTTTTTTTCTATCTCTATTTTTATCTCATCATGTACAACCACTTTACTCTCAAAGCCAACATTCCTGCGGCAACTCAAGATACCTCTCAGTATCCTTACTATAATCATAAATTACCAAGTCCCTCTCAACCCAACTAAAATCCTCTTTCTGAGAGTCAGCAAGATTCCAAGCATCCTACTGATCCTCAGTTGTGGTGGAGACGCAAGCAGGATAAGGGTTTTTCCAAGTTTTTTCTTTATCGTATTGTTTTGAGACGCAAGCAGGATAAGGGTCTTTCCAAGTGTTTTCTTTATCGTCTTGTTATAGAAATCGAATAACTTTTACGGGAATCCTAAATGATTATTTGGGGAAACAACGAGGTTAAGGTAAAATTGTCTTTTCAACTTTTATTTAACAGTATTTTTAACAGAAAGTTAAAATAGGACTAGCTTCATATCTAATAAGGGGTACGAGGACTACGTTGAGATAAAAGAAAGTGGGAGGACCAATTTGAGAATGAAGCACTAGTACAGGGACCAAATTGGGCTTTTAGCCTTACTGGAATACTGTGGATGTGTTGTAATATTTCATAGATATATCATGATATATACCCCTTTTAATGCCATCGTTTTTATGCAGAAACCAATTATTCCAACTGATTTCTACAGAGGTTTGCGGGACTCACAGCTCATAGGACTGTCGGGATACTCAAAGGAGGTATGCTATTTTGTTGGATGTTAATAATTTTTCTTTTCATATTCTTTTATTTTGTAGTTATCCTGTCATAAGGTCTTGTTCAGTCATTTACTCTAGATATACTATGTAGCTGGTTCTGTGCTTGTCTTCCCCTCCTAATTTATTGCTAAAAAATTGGCAAATTCAGATCCTAAATAATTTCAGGGCATACTCCCTTTGGGCAAGCTTTCCTGCTTTTGTCCAAGCTTGAGATCTTTTTTTGAACAAACTGCAGGCTTTATGTAATTTGTTATATCATCAATTTAGTTTCTTACAATTTTGTGGTTACAAATACTTTTTATTTGAATTCCCTCCCAGGCAATAATCTGTAAAACAGCCATTATCATTAATAGCAATAACTGCTATTAAATCAGAACCTTGGAAGGATAACATCCTCATCTGTTGTCTATATGCATCACTGAATTACTGAATTATCAGGAAATGCCATAACAACATCGAAAAGTTTGAATTGTTTTTATTAGAACATGTAGAAGGTTATGTAGGCGTCAAAAAAAGTGCTTACAGACATCCTAACACCACTCAAGACAACATAGAAGAACGATCTAACGTCATCAGGCACACACACTGCAGCGCGGCAGGACATGGTCCGGCGGCTAAGGCGCGACAGCATTATGACGCCGCGGCTTAGGCGCTGCAGTCTAGGGTGCGCGGCTTTAGCGCGACAGCTTAGGGTGGCCGCGGCTTCGGCGCGACCAGCTTAGAGTGCCGCGGCCATTATAGTAAGAGTGCTGTGGTGGTTGTAAGTCAGTTATTCGATGATTATTTGAAGGCCGCACGTGGCGGCATATCAGAGATAGAACGTGTGCTGACGTGGATAGGCAGTTAAACCACGAAAAAGGTGGTTAAAAGTCGTGTGAGAACAGTTTCAAACACGTACGAACGTGGGTGTAACTGCGCCTTTAGCCGCGGCAGTATCGACTGCCGCGCCCTTTTAGCCGCGGCAGTGGTCGACTGCCGAGCTCTTTGGCCGCGACCGTGTCGACTGTCGCGCCTTTTAGCCGGCGACAGCTCAACTGCCGCGCCTAAAGAGGCAGTTGTTGATCGGCTATTCTCTCATTATGGTCTAAGGAGGCTATAAATACCCCCTATGGCCATCATTAGCGGGGGCTGAGCATTTTCAGAGCAGATTAGAGTAGAGAGCCTTTGAGTTTTGGTGAATTAGAAGCAAGAGAGAGAGTCTTCCTTCTTCACAAACATCCTCAAGAAGCTTCTGGCGAGTCCTAGAGATCTAAGCTCTGACTTGATCTTTAGAAGAGTGAACATCTTACATCGATAGAGATATTCGCAATTCAAAATTCTTACTCTCGATAAACGAAGGAAGAATCATTAACCCCTCACGGTTCAATCAAATCTGTGATTTAGTGTCCACGAGTAAGCGCTCCCGCACAGGGCAAAGATCCCACGCACAGCAGCGATCCAACAACAAGATCCTGCGTTTGTTTCTCAAGAGTTGTAATTTTCCTTTTGTTGTGTAAAAGAAGTCTTATAAAAAGATATCTCTTTTGAATTTGTTGTAATCGACCGAAGATATAATGAATTCCATAACAAAACAACTTTTGACGCAAACAAACTGGCGACCAATTGGGAGCCAACGGTCTCGCTGCCGAGACCGTCGTGTCGCAGGCCGATCAAGATCCAGTTGAATCCATGGTCGAATACGAATTCGTCCAACAAATTTGAGGAATATCTCTCATGCATCCTCTCTAAGATCTTCATTGTCTCAGCAAGTACAAAGAGGATCTTCACAATTGAGGAAAGACTCTACAATGCCAAAGAAGGCACAAAATGAAGACTCTCGCCTGATTGTTGCTCCAGCGATTTTCACTCGCGACAACCTCTGCTCACGATGACTCTCATTTAGTTAAAGAGTCATCGATCAAAGCCCACGGCAACTAGACGAAGAGGCGACTCGTCAAAGACAACGTAGCGCGGCGCTCGTTAAATAGCTAAGGCTTGGACAAACAGATGGGGTTATGCTATCGACGCAGGACCTAGAGTCGAGGAGACATCGAGTGGTTGCAGTTGTCTCAACGACGCATCATCATGTCTCTGCTAAAGCTCACAGAACGGAGGAATGGACTATTGTTAAAAAGGACTTCGTTCGCCTCAAGAACGTATACAAAAACGTCGTGCAACGCTGTTCTGCAGTGCTCTCTTACAACCCAAAGACTGAGAAAGGAAGAAAGGAACGGTGGCCAAAAAACACCGAAACTCACCAAGTTTGGATTTCCAAAAGTCTGGACTTATACAAATCAAGGCATTCGAGGCCCGTGTTAAGACTCCATACCCGCAGGGGGTGGTTTAAACGTGTGACTGCCTGACATAACCTTGGATCGCTTCAAAGACAGCAATAAATTGTCCTGGGAATGGCCAACAAGGTTTACACCTCCCAGAAGAAGCGCATTCACCAAAATGATACTCGTATATACCTGGGAGGTCTGGCCAACAGACGATAACGATTTTTTGGCAATCATACGCGATTGAGTCGTATTTCAAGGTTGGGGTTGTGAATAATTTGCGAAAAGAGAAGTTATTCGAGGAAATAAACTCTCATTGTCTGTGCGTCGGACTGACGTAAAGGCAGGCATTATCAAGAATGTGACTGTTTAAAAGGGGGCGGGGCGAGAAGCCATCCCTACGAAGAAAGTCTCTGTATTGTGCGAAGCCCTAAACCGAGATATTTAGCGCAGAAAAGAAATCAGCTGCGAGATTGATGATTCCCTGAAGTACCATAAATGTGGCTGATAAAACAGGAAGTCTAAGCGGCATTCAATACTCAAATCCCGACTTTTCCCCGAGAGGAAAGGTCAATCCAAAGAATTTGGCTTAAAGATGTCTCGGACTCGCAATTAGGAGCCATCAGGCGCAGAATTAAAAAGAATGCAAGAGGAATGTCCTGCGAGGAAATGAATTCTCGACACGTTGTTCCTGCAATCGCTTCTCTTGATGATAAATGTCCTAGGGCACAGGACAAATCAGAAGTATTTCACAATCACTGGCTGATCCAAGTTCACGCTCAAATACTTCAGGAAGCTCTACCAAACCACCGTGAAGAAATTAGAGCTGAAGTGAAGACGAATGAAGTTGGCTATCCGAACAATGAGAGAACTGTTAACTCAACAGCCTCAACCTCCTGAGTCCAATCAGCGACTTGAATCCAGCTACTACACTCGGAATGTTGTAGAGGACAGTGATCCAGAGGTGGATGAAGTCATTATGACTGATACACCTCCCAATGACAATAACACTGAGGGTGGTTTAACAGATCCTCCCAATAACAACATTGGGGGTGGTTCAATAGCACCTCTCATAGGGGGTGGTCTAACTCATTCTCCTCAACGTCCTTCGAATGAAGACATAGACGATAAAGGGAAAATGAAAGAGCTTGAAAACAAAGTCAATGCTTTGATGACGGCTCAAGAAGTTAAGAAGACGGGTATTCCATGTCCCTATCCAAGGGAATGGGATTCAATACCGTACCCGACGAAGTTCAATCTGATTAACTTCACACCGTTTGAGGGGAAGAGCTCGCCTATTCAGCACTTGATTTATTTCAAGTCTCATTTGAGTATGATCTCCGGAAATGAGGCTTTAATGGTCCGGTCATTCGTTGGCACCCTTCGCGGGTCGGCCTTCGATTGGTACCGACGGCTCAAGCCGGGAGCATCAATTGCTGGGATGACATAGAAAATTTGTTCCTCAGCAACTTCTTCGATGATGACACCGAAGTGTCAATCGGAACCCTTTTGGATGAAAAACAAAAAGACGGGGAGTCAGTCGACAATTTTGTCAAGTGCTTCCGTAACAAGGCAATGAATTGCAGAGATCCTGTTACAGAAGAGTTCATTCTGCAAACATGCCACAATAATCTCTCTATCGATGTTCTGGAAGCTCTGGGGGTCGTACCATGAGTTCATTCCAAACATGCCACAATAATCTCTCTATCGATGTTCTGGAAGCTCTGGGGGTCGTACCATCCAAAACTTGGAAAGATTTGAAAATGCGCGGTGAACAAGCTGAACACTTTCTTAAAAGAAAGAAAGCTGAGAGAAGCCAACCGACGACATCTGCAATCACTGGGAACCCGACTCCCGATCAGGATGGAGCTAAGAGGATTACGGATCCAAACTACTGTGCGTACCACAGAAGGGTTCTTCATCCCACCGAGATTTGCTTTGGACTCAAAAATAAAATCCAAGCATTAATTGACTCCGGCGTCATAATGGCGAAACAAGCCAAGTAAAAGATCCAAGCCTTAATTGACTCCGGCGTCATAACGGCGAAAGAAGTCGAGTAAAGACGACCATAATACTCCATCGGATACACGAGTTTAAACTGTTTTCCCTAACTCCATTGGGTACACGAGTATAAACTGTTTCCCCACACTCCGAAGAGTATACGAGTATAAACTGCTCCTCGATACTCCTAAACTATTTCCTTTCTTTCACGGGAAATTCCTGGAGAGCGCCATGCATAGTACTCTTAAGGATAACCTGTTCATGCAGCTGAATATAATGATAGACCCAGTTTCACAAAGGAAGCTGGGGGTGGATGGTTCATGTAACGGGAAGTTCTCGAAAGAATGCTATATGTAATTTTCTTAGGGATAACCCGATCATTACAAACAAGGTGATAAACACTACATCCCCACGGTGATTTCCGAATACTCTTTTGTTGAGATGAGATTTGATCACTCCTTTAGATCAATCTTCCCTCACAAAACTCACATTTGGTCAAACCTTTAAACAGTTAGGACCAAAGCCAAAATCCCCTCTCGATTCGTTCCATGAACGAGAGGTCCACAAATTGAACGATCAAACCTTTAAACAGTTAGGATCGTCTCAAAACCCTATTTGGTCAAACCTTTAAACAGTTAGGACCAAAGCCAAAATCCCCTCTCGATTCGTTCCATGAACGAGAGGTCCACAAATTGAACGATCAAACCTTTAAACAGTTAGGATCGTCTCAAATTCCCATCTTGGTCAAACCTTTAAACAGTTAGGACCAAAGCCAAAATCCCCTCTCGATTCGTTCCATGAACGAGAGGTCCACAAATTGAACGATCAAACCTTTAAACAGTTAGGATCGTATCAAATTCCCATCTTGGTCAAACCTTTAAACAGTTAGGACCAAAGCCAAAATCCCCTCTCGATTCGTTCCATGAACGAGAGGTCCACAAATTGAACGATCAAACCTTTAAACAGTTAGGATCGTCTCAAATTCCCATCTTGGTCAAACCTTTAAACAGTTAGGACCAAAGCCAAAATCCCCTCTCGATTCGTTCCATGAACGAGAGGTCCACAAATTGAACGATCAAACCTTTAAACAGTTAGGATCGTCTCAAATTCCCATCTTGGTCAAACCTTTAAACAGTTAGGACCAAAGCCAAAATCCCCTCTCGATTCGTTCCATGAACGAGAGGTCCACAAATTGAACGATCAAACCTTTAAACAGTTAGGATCGTCTCAAATTCCCATCTTGGTCAAACCTTTAAACAGTTAGGACCAAAGCCAAAATCCCCTCTCGATTCGTTCCATGAACGAGAGGTCCACAAATTGAACGATCAAACCTTTAAACAGTTAGGATCGTCTCAAATTCCCATCTTGGTCAAACCTTTAAACAGTTAGGACCAAAGCCAAAATCCCCTCTCGATTCGTTCCATGAACGAGAGGTCCACAAATTGAACGATCAAACCTTTAAACAGTTAGGATCGTCTCAAATTCCCATCTTGGTCAAACCTTTAAACAGTTAGGACCAAAGCCAAAATCCCCTCTCGATTCGTTCCATGAACGAGAGGTCCACAAATTGAACGATCAAACCTTTAAACAGTTAGGATCGTCTCAAATTCCCATCTTGGTCAAACCTTTAAACAGTTAGGACCAAAGCCAAAATCCCCTCTCGATTCGTTCCATGAACGAGAGGTCCACAAATTGAACGATCAAACCTTTAAACAGTTAGGATCGTCTCAAATTCCCATCTTGGTCAAACCTTTAAACAGTTAGGACCAAAGCCAAAATCCCCTCTCGATTCGTTCCATGAACGAGAGGTCCACAAATTGAACGATCAAACCTTTAAACAGTTAGGATCGTCTCAAATTCCCATCTTGGTCAAACCTTTAAACAGTTAGGACCAAAGCCAAAATCCCCTCTCGATTCGTTCCATGAACGAGAGGTCCACAAATTGAACGATCAAACCTTTAAACAGTTAGGATCGTCTCAAATTCCCATCTTGGTCAAACCTTTAAACAGTTAGGACCAAAGCCAAAATCCCCTCTCGATTCGTTCCATGAACGAGAGGTCCACAAATTGAACGATCAAACCTTTAAACAGTTAGGATCGTCTCAAATTCCCATCTTGGTCAAACCTTTAAACAGTTAGGACCAAAGCCAAAATCCCCTCTCGATTCGTTCCATGAACGAGAGGTCCACAAATTGAACGATCAAACCTTTAAACAGTTAGGATCGTCTCAAATTCCCATCTTGGTCAAACCTTTAAACAGTTAGGACCAAAGCCAAAATCCCCTCTCGATTCGTTCCATGAACGAGAGGTCCACAAATTGAACGATCAAACCTTTAAACAGTTAGGATCGTCTCAAATTCCCATCTTGGTCAAACCTTTAAACAGTTAGGACCAAAGCCAAAATCCCCTCTCGATTCGTAAGAGGCAGTTGTTGATCGGCTATCTCTTCAGTTATCGTCTAAGGAGGCTATAAATACCCCCCTATGGCCATCATTGACGGGGGCTGAGCATTTTCAGAGCAGATTAGAGTAGAGAGCCTTGAGTTTTGGTGAATTAGAGCAAGAGAGAGAGTCTTCCTTCTTCACAAACATCCTCAAGAAGCTTCTGGCGAGTCCTAGAGATCTAAGCTCTGACTTGATCTTTAGAAGAGTGAACATCTTACATCGATAAGATATTCGCTTCAAATTCTTACTTCGATAAACGAAGGAAGAATCATTAAACCCCTCACGGTTCAATCAGAATCTGTGATTTAGTGGTCCACGAGTCAAAGCGCTCCCGGCACAGGCAAAGATCCCACGCAAGCAGCGATCCAAACAACGATCCTGCGTTTGTTTCTCAAGAGTTGTAATTTTCCTTTTGTTGTGTAAAAGAAGTCTTATAAAAAGACTATCTCTTTTGAATTTGTTGTAATCGACCGAAGATATAATGAATTCCATAACAAAACCAACTTTTGACGCAAACAGGTTAAACATGCAAATAGTTTCCTTTAAAACATAAATACATTGATATGGGGGAAATGACTTGTAAAAGTCAAATAAGTTATTCTCTTTATCTGCACATGTGTAATATTTCCATCCCCAATTGGTGTAAGGCATCATTATATCTAGATGGAAATAAGAGACATCATGCATATACTAATCAACGCTAGTTGTCATGTTACAAGCCATACATTGTATTGTAGTTCATGTACAGTGTACATATGGTGGAAATATTATGGTCTTCCATATATGACTATTTGAAGCAATGTGTATTGTATAATCTAACAAATCCCCTTAGAAGTAGTACAGACGGATGCGGTTCTGAACTTGTAACTCTTGCAGACATTCAGTTAGCTATATGGTATCTAGCCTTTTAATATGGGTACTGAGCTTTGGTTGTGTTTGAAAAACAGCTTGCAAGAATTAATAGATATCTTTCAGCTTATCTTTCACATCAATAGTCAAACTAATATTTTATTAAATTTCTATCCTTCTGCTTATTTACTTTTTTACCTTATGTCCTAAAAGCAGTCCCTTGGGGGATCTTTGTTCTTTAATCCCGCGTGCCTGTTGTTTACCTTATGTCACATTCTTTCCTGAAGTTAATTATATCGTCTTTATTTTATACAATCCGACAATTTACCTTCTGTTTTACCTTTTCGTTCTCTATCTCCGGCAGGGTCTTCCTGTATTCGCAATTGGTGTTGGACTTAGCACATTTGACAAAGCATCTGTAAGCACTATGATCTCTCTTCATAACTACTAAAGTTAATTTACTAAATGCATGTTGCTGAGCAGGAAGCATCAGGCAGTGCCAAAAAACATCCTGATCAGATTTTTTTTCCCTTTGCGGTTTCCTTTTCTGTATTTAAAACTCTGGCGGATAGTTCATTATTGATATGAAATTATGATTTGAGCTGAATTATGACCTTGAGTATAAGTGTTGAAGGCGTTAGTTAAGGGTTAAGTTGGCCCAACAGGCTTGGGACCTGCTGTGGGCTGCCATGAGGGGGTTTACACCAGTCTATTGTTGAGCTATTCTGCAGAACAGAAAAGAAAGGAGATAAGATGAAAAGAAGGAAGAAGTGGAAAATAAACTGCTAATGTCCCTTTAAGCCACTAAATGTACAACCAATGGCTGACTGCTGCTATAGGCAGAATAAGGGGAAAATAAAGGCTAGAGAGCAAAGGGATGAGAGGGGACCAGCCCGTTATCAGGATCTTGCAGAACCCAGTTTGCATAAACTTAAGTGGATCTGCTTTTAGTGAAAATTTTGTCCTTCCAGGTTATAAGAATAAGTCCAGCCTTATTCTGTGACCCCCTACCTGTCATGCTACCCTCACTTCACTGCAGTTGAGATCACCACCAGGTCCTTCAGCAGACAGCTTGTTGCAGTTAATAATGAGGTGAAGGGGCTGGCAATAAGACCCTGCTTTCTCTGCTCTGTTATTCCTTCCCCAACACTTAAATTCTGGGTACCCACCTCTACATCAACTGCTATTTAGTACCCGGAATTAAAACTAAGCATAATCCTGCTAGTTTAGAACATGCTGCAGCTATGCGACTGGTGTTGTCTGGGCCTTCAGCCAGCAGCATATTAAAGTCTAATGATTAGATTTCTGGATTAATGTTGTATTTTGATTTGAAGAGATCAATTATTAATGGAGTTCGACTTGGACAGCCAAGGGAATTAATTGGACAACAGCATTTACAAATGACAAAGTAAGTACTAAATAACAGTTGACTTAGAGGTGGGGTTGAAAATTTGGGAGAATTTTCAGCATGGAGATTAACCCAGTACTTTGGGAGTTGGTTCTTAGGGAATTGAGTCTGCATCTTTTGAGTTGAGTTATTTCCTTTTTCTTTTAGGTTGAGTAACTAAATTACCCTTGTACTTCAAGTGTTAACAAAATCAAGTCTTAATGCTCTTTTTAATATTCACTCCAAAATATTTTCTGGCATCAGTTAGTTTAGCTAACTTGTCTATACAACAATTTGTGTGCAATGGACATGTTTGCATATAAATGTGCATGTGTGCATACAGTACTATATTTACTCTAGTAAGAGGTTGATATGGTTTCTTTCAAGTTCAGAAATGTTTACCTGCTGTCCTGATATCTGTACCAGTTTTAGTTACCTGGTTATCTTACTTGTCTTTTAGGTACACTACTATGTCCAATCACATATTCAAATTAATGAGTACAGAGATCGTGTAGTATTGGTGAGCCCTTTCTCATAGTTCATATACTTTGATTACTATAATGTTTTCTTTGTCTTATTTGTAGCTTCTCATTGTAGCCTGCAGCGACACAGAAGCATGAGCGGCATATTGGAACATGCATTAAAATTTTGGACATGACTGGTTTAAAGCTTTCTGCTTTGAGCCAGATAAAGGTTTGTCTTGTCATACTTTTATCTCTGTTATCCAATGGCAGATCCACAAAAAATTTCTTGATAGGGTGGACGATAGATATCTGTTTACCAAAAAAATAAAGATTAATATTATAAACAAGAACTTGCAATTGCCCCCTAAGTGCACACATGGACCCTCCCCTGCTGTTTCTAGAAATAGCTGGCAATTTGTTTACCATTCTTTTTCTGACGGAACCTTCAATTTTCTTTTACTGTCCATTTAGCAGATTTCTAAGGCACAGACAATGAAAAACCTGAAAATCCAAAAAAGAAACATAAAAATATAAATATATAAACTTGGTAGATGTTTTTTTTTTCCCTTCATTGGTTTTTATTAATGCGATACATTTTTTGATCCTAGGTTAATGTACAAGATATTAATTTGTTTTGTTTGCAGTGTACCCTGTTGCTTCAACCAGTTATATGATTGCACTTTTTAACTGCCATGATTAAACCAGTTATATGAATATTGAACTTTTTATTTTCCATATGATGGCAGCTATTGACTATGATATCTACCGTTGATGACCTGAACTATCCAGAGAAGACGGAAACTTATTACATTGTTAATGCTCCATATATATTTTCAGCTTGTTGGAAGGTACAGTTTTATCAGAGTTCTGATACTGCCACACCTGAATATGCCACTTCCATCTTTTTGATCTTTGTCTTTTTAATCTTAATAATTATGATTTGTAACGTTCTTCTGATAAATATTCTGTTTTCCATGTTAATGGTATTTTACATTAAACCCTTGACCAGGTTGTTAAACCTCTTTTGCAAGAAAGAACAAGAAAGAAAGTTCAAGTGCTCCAAGGCGGTGGCAGAGACGAGTTGTTGAGGGTAAGATCGATTCAACTGATAGTATAAGAACATATGTGGAACGGATTGTAGTTTCATGCAAATGACTCGTCTTTGACTCATTTTTATAGTCATCATCATTTTTCTATGTGGCCCATGTAGCAAATGTATTGATAACATTATTTTCCCATGAAATAGTTTTTACCTTCCAGTTCCTGGAGTGCTTTATGACGAAATAGTAAAGAAATAGGAGGAAAATGATTAAGCAATTTGGAAAACCAAACCCCATGAGGGTTTTTCATCTGTCAAAACTGCAAGTCAATAGTATGTTTCCT